GAGAGAGAGAGAGAGAGAGAGAGAGAGAGAGAGAGAGAGAGAGAGAGAGAGAATGCTAAAGATTCATAGCCCACAGAGTTGGGAATAAAGATTGGGAAGCAACCATTCTTTCAAAGGCAGAGAACAGATTTGGACATAAATTCAACTCTGTTAAATCAGCACTTTTCTGTATTTTTTTTCATGCTAGTAAAAAAAAAACCCAAGCTTACACTATTCAGCCATTTTTTTTCAACATGAGGGGAAATGTGTTGTATTTTTATCCGAACATAAAAAAATCGGGGAGGGGAAATCTTTTCAAACTATTTCTGTAATTACAATACTGCTTCCACAGCTGTGGTTAGTCTCTCATATTACCCTGGCAAGCTGAATAATGAGAATATGAATCTGTTTCTCCCTTCAAGAATACTTCTCTTTACCCTTATTAAAGCAGCCAGGCTATACAGTTGCTTCTTTCTGGCTCAGTTGCTGTCCTTTTCTCACTATCACTGAGACACGGAAAAGTATATTAAACCAGAAGAGAAATTCTAATGTGCTGAGAACATGGACCTGACAGCATCAACTAGAATAGACAAGGAAAGGTGGAAAGGTGATGGCAATGCTTTAAGTTAATGCTTTAGAGGAGAATACAATGGGCCAAATGAAACTGGCAGCTTTCTTATATAAAGGACTTCAGATTTGTCCTTCATTGGCACACAGTCTCATAAATCAGTTTCAGAAAAATAATTTAAGGAATATATTGCATGGCGGTCATAATCTTAACTGGTCCTGATAGTCTTATTCTGCTCAGGTGAGAGATAAATCATGAAAACCTACATACACAGAAGATTTTGAAATCTCTTTGGGGAGCTCATTTTCTTTTACATCTAGAGATGGGAGTTGCAAGTAAGAAAGCAAAGTTCAAAATCCTAAGAGATGCTGGAAATGGAAGAAAGTAACATAGGGAGAAATTGTGTTGCTTATAATGATACCTTGGCTCCCAAAGAGGGTTTGTGGCACACAAGATCTCCTTTTACTTTTATTGAATTCTTTGTACGCCAGATATCACAATTCATTTGAAGTTTCATTAAATGAATATAAAGTAATTGCACGTGTAGCAATATCTACTTCTATATGGGTCCATGGATATTTTTATACATTTATTTATTTACTTTTTATTATGTTTATTTGCTGCCCATCTTATAGCCCAGTCTAATTGTTGCATTGTTGCTCCTTATAGAGGGTAACAGGATATCAGAGAAGGAAGGGACTATGAGATTTAGTACAATTCCCTTTACAAACAAGAAATCTTATACCAGTGATGGTGAACCTTTTCGGTATTGAGTGCCCAAATCAGAACGCATGTGTGTGCACATGAGCTGGTACCCTAAAAACTCAAAGGCCAGCTGGCCAGGGTTCATGAGCATGCTGGCCACCAGGTCTTCTGGTTTTCTGCATGTGCTCCGGCCAGCTGATCTTTGCATGTGCTTGAGCCCTGGAAACCTGAAGACCAGGTGGCTGGTGCACATTTGTGCATTGACCACCTGGCCTTCGGGTTTCCAATGCTCCAGCATGTGCAAAGGCCAGCTGGCCAGTGCACATGCACACACCAGAAACCAGAAGAACAACTGATAATAATGTGCATGCTTACAGAGAGGTCTCTGTGTGCCACCTCTGGTATGTGTGGCATAGTGTGCCATCACTGCCTTATACCATTTCAGATAAATGAATGTCCATTCTCTTCTTGAAAATCTCCAGTGTTGGAGTCCTTACAATGTCTAGAGGAAGGTAGTTCCACTAATTAATTGTTCTGTCAGTAAATTTCTTCTTAGTTCTAAGTTGCTTCTTTCCTTGATTACTTTTTATCCATTACTTCTGGTCCTGCCTTCAGGTGCTTTGGAAATTAGTTTGACTCCCTCTTTCTTGTGGCAGCCCCTCAAATATTGGAACACTGTTATCATGCCACCCCTAGTTCTTCTTTTCATTAAATTAGACATACCAAATTCCTGAAACAATTGTTTTAGCAACCAGTTTCCTAATCATCTTTATTGTTCTTCTTCACACTTGGACAATATTCCAAGTGTCCTGCATTTTCACAATTTGGTGAACTCTAAAATAATTGGGACTACTTCTCTTCTACTATAGATTTGTGAAATTTCTATTTCACTTTATGGGGTTTCATTTATTTAAAATAAAGAAATAAATTATATTATAAAATATAATATACATAATAAAATAAACTTTTTTTATTATAAGTACACATTTAGATCTGTTTGGACTGTTAGTTCAAGAACTCACTGAAAAATTCTTGCAGTTATTCTCCAATGCTCTGTATAGAACATTAGTCTGGGAACTGCTGATATACACGAAAGCTGCTATTAACTTCTGAATATACTAAGATAAATATCTTAAAGCAAAACAGAAAAGAAAACCCTACAAGGAATACATAGCTCTTGAACTCCTGCTCCTCTTCAGATATTCATCACCATATTAATGAAGTGAGAACCAAAGTATCAATTTCAGTTCCTGGTTGTAAATATTTAGTTTCACTGCTTCAGATCCAGATCAACTAATTGCTCATCTGATCTGTTTGCTCTGTCCCATTTTTCATGTGTTTTTCTCCTTTCAAAAGAGTTCTTTTCAACTAAGCTTTACTTACTGTATGAATCTGTTGAATTTTTTTCTTTGCCTTATATTTCTGCTTGTGCAATTAACATCTGTCATACGTATCAATAAATTCATCCCTAATTATGTTAAAATGGAACTTTGTCTGCTCTACTGTTTATTCCATTTGAAAGGTCTACCTTTTCTCCCTTTATCTCTCTTTATCAAACTTTATTTGAAGTTGCCATCAAGAAATTACTATAAAGATGATCCACACATAATTTCTTCCAGAAAAACTACCAAGCTCTCATGATTTGAGATGGAAGTTTTAAAACTACTTATGCTTGTGATAAGGGATTAGAGTAATGAGGACCGACATCACAGTTTTGCAATGAATCTATAATTATAGATGAGCAGCAGGAAAATACAAAATGAGCAATTGAGTATGATGCTACTCAGGATTTGAAAACGGAAAAGAATTCATGAAATGCTTCCCATTTCATTTTCTGAGATTAATCAGAACTTACTGTGGTAGAAAGATACAAATCTATGGTGAATAAGCAAGATTTTAAACCTACTATTTGCGTTTTGACACCCACTACTCTTATATTCAGATCAATTTCGTGCTTTAAAATAGATCTGGTGAGAGAAAGAACTGTTATTAAATATGAAAAGGCTGAAATTATGAATAATTGTTATTAATAGCTGCAATTGAATAGATATTTCTATACCCTTCAGCATAACATATGTATCAGAAGATATGAGAACTTTTTCTTTCCTCTCTTCTCCAACATTTTGATTTACATCAAAAAACTGAAAGTGAATAAATCTTCACTGAAATCTGGCACATTCCTTTCAAAGAATTCTTGATTTATTAACAACATGCCTCCATTTAGGAAACATGTAAAACTTTTTTTAAAAAACAAAACTCAATAAAAACCTCAAAAGTCAATAAGGGATTGTACCACGTTAGTTTTAAGAAGATTTGGATTTAATTCTATATTCCATCATGAAATTTTCCTTTTCCTTTCAAGATTCAAGAGGGGTATTTTTTTATTAATTTTTTTATTAATTTTTAATTTAAAACAAATACAACATCCTTCTTTACATGCTATAGAAAGTGTATCAGTTGGTTACAAATAAACTTTTGTGCATCTCTTCCACACATCGGACATGCTACCAAACTCTTGATTGTTCCCTACTAGAGACTTAACAGTTCTCCTTCTACAATGAGTCATTTCTTTGGAGGCGAGAACGCTTTTGGTTGGGGAATGATTTGAATTCTTTTCCCTTGCATAGCAATGTCCTTTTTTGTTTGTTTTGTTTTGTCTTTTTGTCATTGCAGGAATCAAGACGACTACCAGCTAGTTCGGAAGTTAGGCCGGGGCAAATACAGCGAAGTCTTCGAAGCCATCAACATCACAAATAATGAAAAAGTAGTCGTTAAAATTCTGAAGGTGAGGCTGCTGTGCAGAGAGGAAAGATTTTACCAAATGCCCCTTTTCCCTAATTTCGGTCTCGTTTGTCTCATTAAGAGTCACACCGGAGACTGTATGCAAGTTGACAGCGTAGTAAATTGCTCTGTCCCCTTGGCATTCCGGGATAAATAGCAATAGCATTTAGACTTATATACCGCTTCACAGTGCTTTACAGCCCTCTCTTAAGTGGTTTACAGAGTCAGCATCTTTAGGCTCCAGTCCCCTAATT